ATGATAGACATTGCTGCTATAAATGCTCTGATCGTATGGAACAAAAAGAATCCTCATTGGAATAACAATAAAACACATAGACGTCGCTTATTCCTTGAAGAATTAGGGAAAAGTCTAACAGCTGATCTTCTTGATCACCACTCGAAAACTTCTAAATTTTTACATAAAGATATTCAAAATACATTGGCCATTGTCGGTTATCCTGTCATAAAGCAACCATCAGAAGAATGAAATGAAAACTTTACACACTCAAAACGTCAACGATGTTCGCTTTGTGATCGTTCCAAAGATAGAAAAGTTCGAAATACATGTTATCACTGTTCAGAACCAGTTTGCGATGAGCACTCTGTTCAGCGAATTTTTTTGTATTAACTGTTCTAAATAAAGGAAAACTATAATTCTAATAATTGCTTTATAAGACTGAAGAGGAAAATAATCTAATTTTAGCAAGAATACCGGTTCGGTAATCAAAATCATAGAATACAAATACATGTTATCATATTATCTCTAAAAAATAGCTTGGGCATCCTAGGGTTAATGATATGAAGTATGCATGAACACCTAATCGAAATTCAATGTCAGTTCAAACTGTGGCTGCTGAATTACAAATAAGATTAAATTGTCAGATTAAATGTAATGATTTTTTTTCATTCGTACAAAATGAACCTGAATGAATCAAATGTGCTCGACGTACAGAAAAATATCACTTCACGAAAAAATCTTGTTCTACTTGATTCAATATTGAACATGTATTAATGTACAATTTTGTATTCTTTTTATTAATTATGTTGCTTTCAATTGTGAACTTATAAATTAACAAGTATAATGTTTTTTGAGAAAAAAAACGAACAATAAAGCTAATCCAACTATAAAAGTGGTGCGATATTGTGTTGCTTTCTACAAAACAAGTTTTATTTCATCAGTTTTCTCGATTAAATCCTCAATTTTAGGAGCAAGATAATGTACCTCAATGATGTACCCCATTCTAAAAAAGAGTATACCCCAAATTTACACCATTTAAACTTTAATAAACCCCATTTGAAAAATAGAAAATGGCAGCCCTGAGAGAGATACATCTTTCAGTGTCCTATTAGCAGTAAAAATTTGAGAACCATATATCATTCCTATCAAAAGTTATCAAGTGCCAAAGTTACCATCTCAAGTCCTATTTTTGAAAAAAAAATTTTTTTCGAAAAAAGTTTCAGGTGTTTTCGAAAAAATTTATTGTTTCTCAAAAAGTCTGTTTCTGCATTAAAAAAAAATTTTCGAAAAAAAATTTTTTATGTTTTTTTGACACCAATCAATCAAGCAAACAAACAAACTATTTTTATTCATATGACCCTCCCTCCAGTCGAGGGAATATTAATTTACACCGGTTATATAATGTTTTGGTAATAATATGTTTGCTTCTTATACTTCTGTTAATATATTCTTCAAAAAGAATAACGAACACTCGCCTGTAGAAAAATCTAGATATTGAAACATGCTCATAAATATCACAAAATGCCTACCTTTATGTGATGTCAAAAAATCAATTAATATTTTTGGGCATGTTTCATTTTTAAGATTCAAGAAGTAACTCTTAATTATCGGGTAAATAGCAATTAAACGTTCTTTTGATTGTAACAAACTGAGCCAACGTATACGAATATGTTGAAGTATAACCTGAGTGAAAACTACAAAGATGAGGTAACATAAAATAGTGAAAAAAGCTGATGAAAGATAAATCAAATATATTTCATTACAATTTGTTCTTGATCAACAAATTCAAAATATTTTCCTAATTCTTGGGAACGTACTGATGATCGACAGAATTGTGAATAAATTTTTAAAATAGCAGCTTCAACATCAAATAATAAGTGATTATTTCCGTGCTTAACTGAATTATGAAGAACGTGGCAATAACAATTACCT